GTGTTGTTTCCCTAATTTCTTTCTCAGCCTTTTTGTCTTTGGTGTACAGGAGGGCTTCTGATTTTTTAAGGATGGTTCAACATAAGGAAATCCATTAATGTAATCCACCACATAAACAAAATAGAGAAAAACCACATGATCATCTCCTTAGATGGCGAAAAAGCATTTGACAAAGTCCAACACCCATTTATGTTTAAAGTCTTGGAGAGATCAGGGATACAAGGCACATACCTAAAGATAGTAAAGGCAATATACAGCAAGCCTATAGCCAACATCAAACTCAATGGAGAGAAACTTAAATCAATCCCACTGAAATCAGGGACAAGACAAGGGTGCCCACTCTCACCATATCTCTTCAACATAGTACTTGAAGTCCTAGCCAGAGCAATAAGACAACTAAAGGAGATCAAGGGGATACAAATCGGAAAGGAAGAGGTCAAAGTGTCACTTTTCACAGATGATATGATAGTATACATGAGTGACCCCCAAATTTCAACCAGAGAACTCCTTCAGCTGATAAACACCTTCAGCAAAGTGGCAGGATACAAAATCAACTAAAAAAATCCAGGAAATGTGTTTTTCAAACATTTGCAATATTTCAAGTGATTTTTCAAACATATTAATTAGAAAAACTTAATTGGTATACTGTATTCTCTTATAAACTACTGGCTGTAGCAAATACTATAAAAATAAGTATATATGCATAAAGATTAAACACAAACTGTATACAAATGGTATATAAAACACAAAATATTAACTTAAAAACCTCTGCCGCTTCAAAGAGAATGTAATGAATAATTTATAAAAATATAAACAAAATAGATACCCATAAAAACTTGTGCAGTGATTAAATATCATTATGTAAGTCATAAATGGAAAACCTTCAACTCATTTTCATTTGCTACACCAAATTGAGGCTATGTTCAGCAAATCTGAGGAAGCAGTTATTCATAATATTCATAAATGTTTCATTCGAAAAGCCTGCAGGATCACCGTAAGGGTTAGCTTTTACTTTTGTGTAAGTACCTCTTACTAACTGACTATGCCAGTTGAGTTCTTAGTTATAACTTTCTGTATATTGTCTGAATTATCTAGATTTACAGTTTTAAAATACATTCATGTATTTTATTATGAACCCTGCAACAAAGCCTAATAACAGACTATGGTACATATGTACTTTTTCAATAGACATAGCAGCTCTATTTGTAATAGCCATAATCTGTTAGCAACTCAGATGTTCCTCAGTGGAGAAGTGGATACTGAAAGTGTGGTACATTTACACAATGGAATACTGCTCAGCAACTAAAAACAAGGAAATCATGAAATTTGCAGGCAAATGGTGGGAACTAGAAAAGATCTTACTGAGAAGATCATACCCAGAAGCAGAAGGACACACGTGCTATATACTCACTTATAAATGGATATTAGCCATACAATATAGAATAAACATAATAAAATCTATAGTCCTAAAGAAGCAAAACAACAAGAAGGACCCTAGGGAAGAGGCTGAAACCTGACTCAGAAGGGCAAAGAAGAAAGATATTGGAAGTGGGAGAAGACAAGGAACAGGACAGGAGCCTCCCACAGGGGGCCTTTAAAATCTACCCACCAGGTTATCTAAAGAGAATCTGAGTCTCATAGCCAATTATTGGACAGAGTGCCAGAAACTTTCTGGAAGAAGAGAGTGACAGAAAGACCTGGAGAGGACAGAAATCCCACAAGGAGAACAACAGAGCCAAAAACTCTGGGCCTGGGGGTCCTGTAGAGACATTGCATGGAGAAGACCTAGACCCCCTGCTCAGATGAAGACAGTAGGCTGCTCACTTTCCAAGTGGGTGCCTTAGTAAGGGGTACAGGAGCTGTCTCTGACATGAACTCAGTGGCCCACTCTTTGATCACCTCCCCCTGGGGGAGGGCAGCTTTCCTTGCCAGGCCACAGAGGAAGGTGATGCAGCCAGTCTTGATGAGACTGGAGAGATTAGGGTCAGACAGAAGGGGAGAAGGTCTTCCCCTATCAAGGGACTAGGGAAGGGAAATAGGGGGAGAAGAAGGAGGGTGGTGGGACCAGGAAGAGATGGAAGGGGCTGCAATAAGGATACAAAGTGACTAAATAAATAAATAAATAAATAAATAAATAAATAAATAAATAAATAAATGATATAAAAAATAACAAAAAATAAATGTCATGTTCATTTAAAGATCTTTCTCATGCATATTCTTATGGTGGCTTTCTGAAGTTATCAGCAGCTGAGTGGGTTCTGTTGGTGATCCACTGGGCCTAAGCTGCACAACTCTACATTTTATTGTTACATTCTCCTAGTGCTGCAAAGAGAAGTTTCCTTGATGAAGGATGGGCATAAGGACACATATTCATAATGCAGGTAGGGTTTTATTTGGCTTAGTAAGGTGGTGGCTAATAAATATTTAGGGGGAAGTTTAATTCTGTATCTATTTAATAAAATAGTGGTAGGCTCTCTCCTAGCGCCTAAGACCTATGCAGCCATGGGTTCCTGGACCAATTAACAGTAACAGGCATGGGTTCTATCTAGAGGAGTAACCATTAAGTCTAATCAAAAAGTGGTTGGTTACTCACAGAACCTTTGTACTGTTATTGCATCAGAGACCATTGTTTTGCCAGGCTAGTCATTATCACGGTGCACAGAGTTCATAGCTGCAAAATACTGTTGATCGCTTTTCTTCATCTGAAGCCTATATAGTACCTCTTAGTCATATGAAAACAAGTCAGGGGGAATGAAGCATCCAGGCCAATATTAGCTTGATTTTTCCATGTCCTTTGACTTTGGGACGTGGGGCCTTCAGCAACAGCATCTTAAATTAACATCAGTTTCTGGAGGTTAATCAATAGCAAGAGCAATAACCTGCATTGTTCAGGGAACAATAGCATTCCCGCTGGCCAACTCAAAGGGATGCTCTGGGCTTTTTTGTAATAGCCTGTGGTGTCATGGATATATTATGCCCAACACCATATAGGGTAACTCCATTTAAATTCATGTGTGTATATATTTTAGTTTTTACACTCATAGTAGGAAGCTTCCACAGTAGTAGGTTTTCATGTCCTTTTCAAAGTTCTTCAGTATAGTTAATCACCCTGTAACCATTCTACCACTCTGCTCTCCTAACTCCTGCTTAGTCCTTCCTGACCCACTACTCACCTTTCTTCCTTTATATCATCTTCTGTCCTTCTTCTTTGGCTAAGATTAAGTGCAGGATCTGTTCTTACCAGGTTATCTTGGTGTTTTTGAAGAAATTTCATATTGATCTCCATAGTGACTATACTAATTTCCCACTCTAACTAGGACTGTAAAAGGGTTTCCTTTTATTTGGATCCTTGCCAGAATTCGTTGTTTTCTTAATGACTGCTTTTTCTGAAAGGGCAAAAAAAGACTCTCCATGCAGTTTCAAGTTTTATTTCCTTATAGATTAAGATGTTAACCATTTATTTGTAATTGTGCATTTGCATCTTTTAAGAATTGTCTATTCATTAATCACATGCATAACATCTTTTTAATTAAATTTTTATTTTTTAATATTAGTTACAGTTTATTAACTTTATATCCCAGCTGTAGCCTGCTCCCTCCTTCCCTCCCAATCCTACCCTCCCTCCATCACCTCCTCCCTGCCACTTTCCAAGCCCACTGCTAGGGGAGGTCCTCCTTCCCTTTCATCTGACCCTAGCTTATCAGGTATCTTTAGAACTGGCTGCAAGGTCCTCCTCTGTGGCCTAGCAAGGCTGATCCTCCCTCGGGGAGGTGGGGGTCAAAGAGCCAGCTATTGAGTTCATGTCAGAAATAGTCCCTGTTCCCCTTACTAGGGTACCCACTTGGATACTGAGCTACCATGGGCTACATCCGAGCAGCGGTTCTAGGTTATATCCATACATGGTTCTTGGTTTGGAGAATCAGTCTCAGAAAAGACCCCTGTGCCCAGCTATATTTGGTCCTTGTGGAGTTCCTGTCCTCTCCAGGTAATACTAACTCCCCCTTCTTTCATATGATTCCCTGCACTTTGCTGAAGGTTTGGTTATGAGTCTCAGTATCTGCTTTGATATACTGCTAGGTTGAGTCTTTCAGAGGCCCTCTGTGGTAGGCTCCTGTCCTCACAGCATCTTTTTTATTGATTTTAATTGTATTGATTCTAATTGTAAGTTCTTGGCATCTTCTCCTGAACTATTGGGGTACAATGGCAACAACTGTGACTCTAGTGCCAGAAGGTGGAGACAGACAGAACCCAGCAGCAAAATGCCAATTCAGTGTAACTAACCAGTGAGCTTCAAGCTAATTCAGAGGCCCTCTCTCTCAAAAAAAAAAAAGAAAAAAGAAAAATGACTGAGGAAGACGCTTGCCATTGACTTACACATAAACAAACACATATGTATGGCACCTTGCACATATCTGTGTACACACAAACACATGACAAAACAGATAAAATATAGTACATATAACTACTGGAATTTTACTCAGTCATAAGGAATATCAAGACTATTTTATTCTTAATTATTTATCATCAATAAAATGATGAAATTGGCTATCATTTTGACAAGCAAAAAAAGTCAAATTCAGAAGGACAAATATCGCATGTTTCTTCTCAAATGGAGAAAGAAACTAGCTTTAATGTTACATCTCTGTGTATACACACACACACACACACACACACACACATATGAACATTATATGTAATACACAAGTAAAAAGAGAGCTAAGAGAGGGGAGGGAGAGATCTAGAAGGTAATAGAATACCTGTGACATAAAGGAAAATAAGAGACTATTTTAGGGAAGGGAGAGACCAATAAAGGGAAAGGAATTAGGGAAGAGAAGGAGAAAAGAAGTAGGGTTGATATGAACTAATATATTGCTTTATTTTTATGAAAATGTCATAATGAAACTTCTAATTTATATAATATTTAAAAATTAAATAAACAAAAACTCAAGCTACAAACAAAGATCATATTGTTTACTAAAAGTATTGTACATTACTGCAGTAGATATAATTGACAGCAAATAGAAATTCTGTAACTCAAATTTTCTATGTGTATGTTAGGGCAATTTTTTTGAGTACGTTTTAAGTTGCAATACATGTAACATGAATCATACAGAGAAATGCCTTCAAAGCAATGAACTATGATTTCACTGTGAAAATCATCGGTATGTTTTGCTTCTTTGTTTTTGAGACAGGGTTTCTCTGTGTAGCCTTGGCTGTCCTGTACTCAACTTTGTAGATGAGGCTGGCCTCAAACTCACAGAGACCCTTCTGCCTCTGCCTCCCCAAGTGCTGGAATTAAAGGCATGTTCCACCATATGGCTGGCATATTTTAAATAATGTTGGAAAATTTAAATGTATAAAAAGCTTACATTTGAGAAAGCTATAGTAGGGAAAATTACAAATTGTTCCATGATCATCATGCATTATTTGAGCCATAGAAAGTCTATTGCAAATGTGAATGTCTCATTCTGGAATTTATGGCATACAGATATGGTTATCATTCTCTTTGGAAGCTTGAATTTAATTCAGATTAATACAATGTCATAGTTTTTCCAGTTCCTCATCAAAGAAAAGATTGCATTTTGTAATTCAAATACAATACAGAGATAAAAATAGTTTTCCACTTTTGAGACTCTCTGCTCCCTGAATAAAAGTTTTTATGTCATGTTAAAAATTCCTATATTTTCTTCAGAGGAAAAAAAAAAAGCTAAATGCCATTAATTTCCAGACTTCCCCATACTTTACATTGCATTCAGCTGTTCAGAAACAGTTTTAAATTAGAAAAAAAAAAATAAAATCATTGAGGAAAAACTTGAGGATCCAATGAAAAGATCCTTATAATTTGATAGCTGCTCTGAGCTTGGCTGAGCGTCCTCTGGGATTATCTTGGACATCGTCATCTCCAGGAGTAAGTACCTTCTTGTGTATCAGTTCCCACATCAGAGGTGCTTTCGCAGAGCTGCTCTCCTCAAGCTCAGGATCTAAATTCAGCTGTGAAGCTTGCCTCACCTTTTGTCTAATGCTTAAGTTAAATCTCTCCGTCATGCTTATCCCAAGCAAAAATCGTTTGACAATGCGATCTTCTAAGGAATGAAAGGAGAGGGCAACAAGGCGACCACCAGTTTTCAGAAACTTCTGTGCTGTCTTCAGTCCAATATAGAGTTCATTGAGCTCATTGTTCACAAAGATGCGAAGAGCTTGGAAAGTCTTGGTAGCAATGTGGGTGGATCGTTGTAGTAAGTCTTTTCTTGCATAGACAGCCGAGGGAGGAAAGGCACCTAGAGACATTTTACAAGAATAAGGAAAGAAGACAGGTAACATTAACATTTGCTATGTAAATGTTCTGTGATGTGCAGTATTTATGCATAGTTAAGGAACTAAATTTTCTGAGAAATTGTGACATTTTGTTCAGCCTTCCCTCTTAGTTTAAATTTTCTACATGGTTTAAAACCAAATGTCATAACTATTTGTTACAACTCAACAGCAATGGTAATCAAACAAAGAGAGAAACAGGAGGAGACAACATTTTGAAGATATTAACAGAAAATTTCACAACATTTCAAAAACCATTAACTTATAGTAATAAGAAATATAATGTGCTGCAAATGCAATAAAGAAAGCCACATTTAGGTGCATCATGACTGAACTATTACAAGGTAAAGACAGTGAAAAAAAATAAAAGCAACAAAGAAAATAACAAATTCTCAGTGGGAATGTGCAGAGAATAAGAGATTGGGGAGTACTCAATAGGACATATGTATCGTGCTCCTCCCCTCAAGGCACAGAGATCTTCCTGGAAGAAGGGGAAAAAGTTATGAAGAGCCAGTGGCCTTGGCCTTGCTGGTGATGGACTTCAAAGAAACGGTGTTTTCCCAACACAGAAGGGCAGTTATGAATATGAACTCACAGTGATTGTGACAGCATGCCTAGGACCTGTGCAAGCTCAAGTCATGCAAAATCCCAGCACAGAGGAGGGCAGGAGAGCACCAATCCTACTGATCATTAAGGAACTATTGGCACGTAATAGCTGTTAGAGAGGGAATTTCATTTTTCATTAATGATGGGATTCCTAGTGGGTTAACCACAGGCTAGGGCAGGCTCCACTCCCAAGACTTCTTGTGCAATAGAAACTAGACTTTTGGGGGAAAAGAAGAGAAGAATGCTCAATGTTTTGTTGGACAGAATGGGAAGTCACCACCCCCTCGCTCCTCGTGGCAGGTGGGAGCTGGCCCTGGGGTCAAGAGAGCAGGAAAGCTGGCACTATACATAACCAAGTAGTACAACAGAGCTGACCCCAGTGGTAGGAACAGGAGTGAGCTGGCCCTGAAAGAAAGCCGAGTGCAGGAGCTGGCCCCACTACTCGTCTGTCCTGAGGAGGCATGGACTTGGGGGTGATGCCCTCCTCCCCTTGCCCCTTGCCGTAGTGTGCAGAGCTGGCTCCTATGCCTCTCCTGGGCAGCACAGTAGAGCTGGCACTGGTAGCAGGGATGCCAGTAAGCGAGAGGGTGAGGGTATGACTGCAGGAAAGCTGGCCCTGCCCTTCACTGGCTGCTGCCCTTGGCACTTGGGTGAGCTAGTGGGGCAGTCCTGGAGAGCTCACCCTGGTGGTTTTGGTGCAGGAGAGCTGAGAGCTGACAGTCTCCGTTACCACCAAAGCCCACAATCAGGGCTTTGCATTGGCTCTCTCAGATCTAACTCTTCCATGAACTGCTGGAGCATGTAAAAGCACTGGTCCTACAGACTCAAAGCTGCAGAATCTTCATGACACAGGGCAACAACAAGAGAACAAAGTGGACTCCTGGTGAGGCTCCAGTGTTGATGGTGTAGCAGAAACAGAGTCCTAGATCCAGACCAATGAATGATTGCAATGAATAATTGCAAATAAAGATGTGTGGACAAAAGATATGGGACACACTGTGACACACTATGGCTTCCACAAACACATGTTTTGTATTCTTTGTTTTATTATATTTTTATTTTTTAAAATTTTCTTTGGAGTGTTATGAGAATAGAGAGATAGGGAGATGAGTGGGATTGGGGTCCACTTTGTGATGCGAAACTCACAAAGAATCAATAAAAAGTGAAAAACAAACAAAAGAAAAGAATGGGAGGTCAGAGGAGGTGGTCATGAATGAAATTCTCTAACAATTAAAATATTGTATAAACTTATAGCCAAACTTTGGGCAGAGTGCAGGGAACCTTATGAAAGAAGGGGGAGATAGAAAGACTTGGAGGGGACAGGAGCTCCAGAAGGACAGAAAAGAAAGTCTGGGCACAGGGATCTTTTCTGAGACTGATTCTCCAACCAAGGATCATTCATGGAGATAATCTAGAACCCCTGCACAGATGTAGCCCATGGCAGCTCAGTCTCGAAGTGGGTTTCTTAGTAATGGGAGCAGGGACTGTCTCTGACATGAACTCAGTGGCTGGCTCTTTGATCACCTCCCCCTGAAAGGGGAGCAGCCTTACCAGGCCACAGAAAAAGACAATGCAGCCACTCCTGATGAGACCTGATAGGCTAGGATCTGATGAAAGGGGAGGAGGACCTCACCTATCAGTGGCCTGGGGGAAGGCATAGGGGGAGAAGAGGGAAGGACTGTAGAATTGAATGGTATGAGAGAAGTGGCTACAGTTGGGATACAAAGTGAATAAGCTGTAATTAATAAAAAATAAGTAAATTAAAAACATTGCATAAAATACACAGTCATGAATAGGTAAGGTGTGGCAAGTTGGGAGCCTATACAAATTAAAAACCCGAGGGCTGGAGATATGGCTCAGAGGCTAAGAGCAATGGCTGCTCTTCCAGAAGTTCTGAGTTCAATTCCCAGCAACCACATGGTAGTTCACAACCATCTATAATGAGATCTGATGTCCTCTTCTGGCATGCAGGTAGAACACTGTATATATAATAAATAGATTAAAAATAATGAAAACCTTTGCTTCGTAAGCTACTAAAAAACTCTACAGAAAGGAATAAATATCAAATCATAAATACAGAGACTTGAATCTAGAACACATAAAAGAAGCAAACTGCCGAATGACAGAAGATAATGTCTCCATAATATTCTGTAACTGGCCTGTAACCTTGTTCCATAAAGCTCAAGGATTGGGATGAGCAAAACTGCTGAATTTTACTTAGGCTTATACTGTCTTAGAAATTTCAATGAACTTAAGAAAAACTTTAGGAAGAGGTTATTAGTGAATATTTCAGAGAAATTAAATTTCCATTCTGTTTCTTATGAATGAAGATCAGAGAGGATGACTGGAATCCTAGCATTTTAATATCTTTAATAGGCTTCTTGTAAAAATGTAAATCATATAAGAATATAAATGCTTAACTCAAATTCATAGTTGTTTTACATAGTATGGGCACAGCCAGTACTGTGTATTGATTTTCCCTCTGAACTGCATCATAGCAAGAGAAAAAATAACATACACCAGTATTAAGTATCTAAATAAACAATCACTGTGATGAGCTCACTTTGTCCCCTGTAGAAAGTACATTCTAGAAAAGGTCAGAATTTAGAAATGTATCCTCCAACTTGATGTGTCTCTCAGAAATAAGATGTCACTGTCAAAACAGAAAAGCTAGGTCAGTTTCTTTAAGTCTGCTAACTGATTCCTCGCATTTTTTTCTTGTTAATTTTCACTTAACAAAGTATTTGAGATCAGTTCAAAATACAATTGGCAAGACGAACTCTCCTTGTGAAGTTGTGCTGTAGTTTTTATGTAAGATTTTTAAAATGATAAACCTGATTGAACAGAGTGGTTGGATTATCAAGAGACCTAGAATCTATTTTAAATGTTGCCTCCTCTATAAACGCTTCTGTGACCCCTTGAGTAGGTGACCTCTTCTAGATTCTTCAGGACTGTAGAACTCTTTCCTTTTGGGTAGGCTATTTTCTTTCTTTTCTCTTCTTTATTATTATTACTTTCTATTAACTTTACATTCTAGTTGTGGCCCTATCCTTCCTTGCCTCCCAGTATCACCCTCTCTATCTCTTCCTCCTACCATATTCCTCGGGATAAAAGGAATCCCCCTTCCCATCCACCCCAGCTCCTCAAGTTATATCAGGACTGAGTATGTCCTTTTGCTCTGTGACCTGGCAAGTCAGTCCCTCCAAGAGGAAGTAATAAAAAAGCTGGCAACAGAGTCCATGTCAGATACAATGCCCACTTCCCTTACTTGAGGACCCACATGAAGCCTAAGCTGACCATGTCTGTAGGGGGCCTAGCTCTAGTCCAAGCACGGTCCTTCGCTGATGTTTCAGTCTCAGCAAGTCCCTCTGGGCCCTGGTTGCTTGGCTCTGTTGGTCTTCCTGTGGAGCTCCTGTCACCTACAGGTCCTTTTTTCTCTCCTCCCAACTTTTTACAAGACTCCCTATGCATCACCCAATGTCTGGCTGTGAGTCTCAGCATCTGTTTTCAGGCACTGCAGAGTAGCACTTCTCAGAGACAACTCTGACATGCTACTGTCCACAAGCTTAGCAGAGTATACATCATAGTGTCAGGATTGGATCTTTGCTTGGGCCTAGCACTGGCTGGACATCCCCTTAATCTCTGTTCTATCTGCTCTATCTTTATTCCTGCAGCTTTATTTATAATAGCCAGAATCTGGAAACAACATAGATGTGCCTCAACTGAAGAATGGGTAAAGAAACTGGTACATTTACACAATGGAAAACTACTCAGCTATCAAAAACAAAGAAATCATAAAATCTGCAGGCAAATACATGAAACTAGAAAAAATCATCCTGAGTGAGGTAACCCAGAACCAGAAAGACACACATGAAATATACTCACTTATAAGTGAATATTAGCCATATAATATAGGATAAACATAAGACAAAGCACAGACCCTAAAAGATTAACTAACAAGGATGATTCAAAGGAGGATGCTCAAATCTCACTCAGTAGGAGAAACAGAATAGAGAGAGGTAGTGGTTGAAGAGAGGGAACAAGGTAGGAGAGGGGGTGCACAGAGATATGAGGGAGAGCAGACCTGGAGAGGGTGCAGGCCAGAGGACAGGAGGGCTGTAGAAAGAGGAGAAACTGGGCAGGGGCATCTCTGTGACCAGCTGGAGACCTAAGTCAGGGCAGGCTCCTAGGAAGACATAAAGGGGGCTTAAGCACAGAGTCCTCATAGCAGAGACCATAGAGACTGAAGAGGACACCCTCTAATTAGACAAGTCTCCTAGTAGAGGGAGGTGAAAACCAACCCACCAACAAAAACTTTGACCCAAAATTTAACCTGCCTACAAGATGTGCAAGGATAAAG